AGTCCTCGGGGTTCCCGCGAGGACACAGCATCCCTGCCTCAGGAGAGGCCACGCCGCAGCCTCGCAGGCTCCTCTGGCCCCAGAAACGGACAGAGGCCGGAACCCACAGGCCTTAAAAATAGGCCCAGGAACCGAAAGAGGCGCCGCTTCCCACCCAAACGGTTACACTTCCTCCCCACAGCGCGGGCCGGGCCGGCTCAGCCTGCCTTACTGAGCTGCAGGGCACGGGGCCCCAGGGATCCCCCGGGGACCGTCCTCGGGACCGCACGAGCACAGCCCCAATTCCACGTACGGCCCCAGGCCAGGCGCTTTGGGTCCTTTATAACAATAACAGCACCAGCAAGGCCGGGGTCTGACTCCGTGCAGGGTCTGGACCTGCCGTGTCTCGCCTGCTCCTCACGCTGTCACGCTGTCCCCGTGAAGCTGTCACTTGTCCTGCAATTCCCGTAATGCTACAGACTCTGAGGTCTCCACTTCACAGAGGCTCGGGCCCCCCGGTCTTCCCTTCCAGCCCCATCTCCCGCCAAAACCCCCCACCCACCGCTGATGCCCAGCTACACCCCACCCAGCCAAATGGGAAGGGCCAGGCCGGGAGGCTCGCTGGAAGGCCAGTCCCCCCTTCATTCCTTCTGGCACATTCCATGAACTCCCTGCAGGATGGCTACCGGCATCTGACGGGCCTCAGCTGGAACTCCACAAACCCCAGTTCTGCCACCTGCCAGCTACGTGGCCTTGGGTCAGCCACCTTGCTTCCTGAAGCAAAATGGGATGCTAGCAGGAGCCACCTCCATGGGCGTTACCGCAGCTGCCGTGCGACGGGCACGTAGCAGGCCACCCAAGTCAAAGCCACAAAACTCCCTGAGGCCGGGCCGAGGGCCCAGACCGCTGCCGCAGCCTCCGCGTCCCTTCCAGCCGGGCCAGCCTGTCCCCTCCACCCAGGCAAGTCCTGCCCTGACTCTGCTCCTCTCAAAGGCCTCCCGCACGGCACAGTCCTCCGTGATCAGCCGTGGCGGGTCCCCTCCCCTGTGCCCCTGAGGGAACCTCTCCTACCTCCACCTGGGCCCCTCCTCACTCCACCTGCACACACCTGTGATGACCCGGCCACCAGCGCCCAGAGGACAGGTACTGGTGGGTCCCACCTCCGCTAAGAGCTTAGGCTTAGACAGATTCTGTGCCTGGGGACATGTTATTTCACCTCTAAAACCTGCATCTGCTCCCCAGGACAAAGAGAAGAGCGTGACAATACCCACCTTCTAGGACCATGTCAAGAATAAAAGAAAACAGGGAATGTGGAACACTCCTCTTGCCCCCCGGCACTCCCAGCCAGAGAGAGAATGCCCTAGGCCACCTAACAGGGGACATGGGTCGAGGCAGAGCCGCTCTGAAAAGTGTTCAGCCTGGGCAGGGCCCAATGCCCAAGGACATTCAGCACCATGTGTAGGCCCTTCCGCTCCCGGTGCCTGTCCACTGTTCACATCAGACCCCGGGGCCAGGTCAAGTTCACGGGGTCCTGCTGAACGTCAGTGGCGTGCTGCCCGTGTCGAGAGGGAGCCTTCCCTCACAGGACGCTTAAGCTGGCATCCAGGGCTCATGTGGCGGCCCAAGCCCCAGGAGGAAGTGTCAGCCTAGACCCACTCCCGGTCCAGATGTCTGCATCACACAGCATCTGGGCACCGGACCACCCGACTCTTCCCGGCTCCGAGAATCGGGAGTCCCGCAGAAGCCGTCTCAGCCCAGCCAGTATGGCTCATCTGTTCCCTGGAATCCCAAGCAGCTTCCTGTGGATAAAACACCACAATCCTGCTCAGAGGGGCCACAGCCCTGGCAGCTTCCAACAGGGTCTCTCCTTTGGCTAAGTCACCTGTGCACTGGGCTTCTCTCCCCGACTCAACAGTGCCCTCCCACCAGGCACAATCCGGCAGGATCAGACCCGTTCCCCCTGCCTGGTGAGTAAAACATGCTTCCGCTGCAGCCGCTGCCGTAGAGAAGATCCAATAGACAGGTTTGGAGCCACAAGGTGCCTTTCATCGTGACAGCCAAGTGACAATCCCTGGGGGAGTGGGGAGACCAGCCGCTTTCTCCCATCTTACACAGACGCTGTGACTCAGAGATGACAACAGTGTGTCCAGGGTCAAGCGTATCCGCCAGAGGCTCCCTCACACCTTCAAAACAACCTCAGAGAACACGGCATGATTCTCAGTAGCCTCAGCTTTAACTGAACAACAACAACAACCATCTGGGAGGCTGAAGTTCATGAACGTAACAGGTTGTCACGGCTGTGAAGGGGAGAAGAGAGGGCCGGGTGACCCACTGGGTACGTGAAGGCTCTTTGGGGCCGGCGTTCTGGGTGGGCGGGTCAACCACAGAGTCCTGACCCTACTCTGGCCTTAGGTCACTAGTAAGCTTGGCCCTCACTGAACATCGCACTTTTCATCTGGAAAATGAAAGAGGGACACAGTGCATCCTTCTAAGAGGCTCAATTCTACTCTCGCTACACCCACACCCTTAACCGATTAGTCCAGAAAGCCTCTCCCTGGTTCTGCCAAACGTTTACCGGACATCTGCTCTGCGCCATGCCCTGTGCCGGGCACTGAGGAGTCACAGACGGGGCGGTGGCCCCAAGGGGCTCGCTTGCTAACCGGGGGGACAGTCACAGAGACTATTACGGTGCCACAATTGGCCTGATCACCCAGAAGACACGTAGCCGGTACAAAGAGGCCAGGCAGCGGGGCAGGAAGGGGTGTGTGGTCACCAGCACCAGAGCTGAGGCTGGAGGGACACCTGTAGGCGTGTGTGGTGCAGGGGAGTAGGGGTGGCCTTCCAGAAGGAGAAGAGAGCAGGCATAAAAGCACAGAGCATCAGAGCACCACAGGGACGTCAGGGGATTGGGCATGGGGTTGGGGGCTGGGTAAGACAGGAGACCTCATGTGGGAGGGGGACCGGGTGGCTGGAGAGGAGACACGGGATCTAAGGGGCATTTCTCCTCCCCAGAGGCAGCGCAGCAGGCACAGGGAGGTTGGCCGGGGCCAGGGGACATCTGAGGAGCAGGGGAGGGACGTGGCAGGCTCTGCTGTCAGACTGGCCAAGGGTCAAACCCAGCTCTGCCACCTGCTCACTGGCTTTCCCTGGGCAAGCCTCTCCCCTCCCAGAACGGAGATGATACTCCTATCTGGCCATGTCCAATCGAATCAACTGAGCGCATAAAGCCCCTGGCACATGGTGAGCAGCTCCGGAAATGTCAGGTGCTAGAATTCATTACCATTGTCCTCAGGGAATGGCCCGCAGGCTCCTGGGGGTGGGGCCTGGAGGGGAGAGTAGGTGCTGGGGAGGTGGGGAGGGGCTGCCTGCAGCTTTCGGAGCAAACTAGGCGGAGGCGTCAGAACTGGGCGGAGGGGCCGGCAGCAGATGGTCAGGCAGACCCCTTCCATCTCAGACATCCTGCGCCAGGTGGCTGGCACGCAGCCTGGCACACAGTAGGTGCTCAGTGAATGCTTGCTGAATGAACTCACGAGGGTCCTTCAATGCTCAACACTAGGTCTTGACGCCTGATCAGAAAAGAAGCCTGATAAACCCATTTCCTGGTCCATCCCTACTTACAAGGCACCCCACCCTCACTCCAAGAAAGGTCATTCCTCAGGCAGGCTGGGCTGGGCCCTGCTTCCCGAGGGGACACGTAGGTAAACCTGCCTCCTACAAAAAAGAGGATTCATATTTATTTCCTTTCCTCTCTAGACTCAGGGTGTGGCTGCTGAGGGGCCTGGAACCCTATGGGTGCCAAGTCCCTGCTGCTGTGTGGCCTCAGAGGGGCTATGTTGGCCCTTTGGGACTCCCCAGTGGTGAAGGATGGGGGAGCGGGTAGAGTCCCCAAGGCTGGCATTCCTTCTTCACAACGCTGTCAACCCTCAGAAACTCCCAGCTCAGATTGGAGATGGGGAGGGGGGGAGCTGACAATGTGGTATGAAATCACTACGGCATGAAGAAGGGAGGGAGGGGTCTTTTCATGGAAAAGAAATGACAACCACACATTACCCGGGAGGGGGCTCCTCTGTCTGGGTCTGGGCAGGATCCGTCAGGGGTGATTACCTCACACCCAGCCAAGCTGGGAGACCCCACCCACACCTTCAGCCCCAGGCTCATCCAAACAATACCAGGCGCCCCCACCCCACCCACCCCCAGCAGATGTAGGACTTGGGGCCTCAGCTAAGCAGGATCACACCCAGAGAGGTGGCGCCCCCCCTCCCTCCACTGGGCGGGTGGGTTCAGGGGGCCAAAGCCCAACAGGTCCCCAGTTCGAGCTGATGGAGAGGAGGACATGGCCGTGTGGAGACATGCAGGAAGACAAAGGCTTCAGGAAGCTGGGGACCGTGGCCAGGACACGCTGGCAGGGAGGTCTGCCCAGAGCCCACCGGGGGCCTGTTCCGCCCCCCTCCCCATCTCCCCACGGGCTAAGGGTCTCCCCAGATCCCACGCCCACACTCCCTGCCGGCACCATAGCCGGGGGAGGGCTTCCTAGAGAAGGAAGGGGCCTGGCACAACCCCGGAGAGGAAGGAGAAGGATGGACAGACACACTCGAAGGGACAGACAGAGGGAGACACCGAGCGACCCGGGAAAGAGGAAGAGACACAGAGACATGAGTGTGCGGAGCCGCTCCGAGGACCAAAATCAGAGGCCAAGACACAGGGACACGGGAAAAACCCATACGTGGAGACCTGGGGGGGGGGGGGGGGGGTCGTGGAGGAGGCCACGACACGCAGAGCCAGAGACACAGAGAGACAGACACACGCAGAGAGACACACGCAGAGACGTTAACAGAGACACGGAGACACACGCAGGGACGGAGGCAGGCGCAGAGACGGAGACACGCAGAGACCGAGAGAGACGCGGAGACCGAGACGCACGCAGAGACGGGCAGAGGCGCAGAGACGGAGCCAGGCTCAGAGACAGGGAACCCGCAGAGACGGAGGCAGGCGCGCCCGCGGCGCCGGCCCGCCCCACTCACCGAGGCCGCAGACCTCCCGGCGCAGGCTGAGGCGGCCGCGCTCCTCCGCTATGGCCCGCAGCATGCGCTGCAGCGAGCGCTCCTCGGCCTCGGCGCCGCCCGCAGGCTCGGGGGAGGTGGCGGCGGCGGCGGCGACGGCGGGCGGCCCGGTCCGGAGCCCCGCGGGCGCGGGCGCCGAGGCGCAGGCCCGGCCCGGCGGCCGCGCGGAGGCCATGCCGGGCCCCGGCTCATCGCCCGCGCCGCGCCCGCCCGGGCCCCCGCCGCGCCCCGCCGCCCCCGCCCCGGCGCCGCCTGCCGCGAGCACCAGTGAAGCCACAATCCGCCTTTGTGCGCGTCGCCGCCGCCGTCGCCGTCGCCCGCCTGCCGAGCCCGGGGAAACGAGCGCAGATCCGCGCTGCCGCGGCCGCCCGCGCGCCTCCGAGCCACCGCCCGCCCCGCCCGGGCCGGGCCTCCAGGCTCCGCCCCTCCTGTCCGGGCCCCGCCCCCACACTGCAACTGTCTGCTAGACCCCGCCTCCCGGCCACTTCCCGCCACGCCCCTGGCCCTCCAGACCCCGCCCCCTCCCGGCGTGTCCCGCCCCGCCCCCTGGCTCTGCTCGCCCCGCCTCCCACCCGCCCCGGGCCGCTAGGCCACGCCCCCGATCGATGAGGCCCCGCCCCAGGCCCGGCTCCCAGGGCCCTCGCGAGCCGGGCGGCCGAGATCTCTTCCCCCACCGTCACCCACCGCGGCCGCTCTGGCCCCGCCCACCTCCGACACCAGCCCGGCTCTCCTCCAGCGGCTGCCCTGAGCCCGCCTCGACCCCCCGCGCTCCGTCTACTGTTCCTCCCCGGCCCCTCAGCCCCCGCGGCCGTCCCCCGCCCCGCAGACCTCATCCAGCACTGAGCCCCTCCCATCACCCCTTCCCGGCCTAGTCCCCGCCCCCTCCGCCCTCTCATCCCTCCCCGCCCCCAACGCCCCCAACCCCGTCCCGCGCGACACCACACTGTCACCTCCGTCTGCCGTTGCCACTCCTCTCCGTCCAGTTCCGGAATATTTTCCGCGGGACCCAGGAAGAACTCACCCCTCCCCCTAAAGTGTCTTAGGGACCACGACGGAAAGCCCTTCCCTCCCCGCACCGAGTCCCTGGCCCAAGCACAGTGCGGGGTGTTGAGAAAGACTCCGAGCCTCAGTTTCCTCGGCTGTACAATAGGTGCGAGGTCGGCTGGGCATGTGACCCTGATGAAGGCCGAGATCCAGCCAGGCGCCCCTGGTGAGCTATCCTCCGCTGATAGAGGGCGACCCAGGGGAGAAGCAGCCAGACGCCTTCATGGGCACCCACCCCTGGCAGCGCACTTCTACGGGGAGGTAGAAATGGAGAGACTGTGCTGGGGGGTCGTGGTCTCAACTCTGACCTCTGTAGGGACGCCCTGCCTCCAGGCCCCCCCCCCCCCGCCCCCAAGTGCTCTTGACCCATTAACAACATCCCGGGCAGGTGAACTGTGTGAACCGCTAAGGTCCACTTACAGGCAGATATTTTCCGAGAAATACAGTACAGTACTATAAACGTATTTTCCCTGTGATTTGCTTAATAACATTTTCCTTCCTCTAGCTCACTGTATGGTAAGAATTCAGTGTGTAATACTCAGACACGCGGAATACAGAGCAAAGCATAACACAAAATGTGCACTCGACTGTGCCATCGGTCAGCAGCAGGTAGTTCAGTTTGGGGGCGTCAGAAGTTATATGGGGATTTTCACCTGCATGGGGGACGGAACCCCTGAAGCCCCACATCCTTCAAGGACCAGCTGTACTCTTCTCCCCCAGCCTCGTAAAACCTGTTCCCTCATTTCCCTCGGGCCCCCACGTCACCTTTTCTGACCGGATTCCCTGAAACCCCACCCCCCTACCCTGCCTTATTTTTCTTCACGGCGCAGCACTCACCTCCTCGGACATCACCCTGTACAGCTATGAATTCTGTTCTGTGTCTGATTCTCGCACAGCTCACGGCTGGTACCCAGGGCACTGCGGGGACATGGCAGACACCCTGTAAATGGATGTGGGAAGAATGGACGGGAGGCCTGCTAGGAAGCAGGAAACCCTCTTGGACCAGGCAGTAAGGAGGCCTGGGACCACGGACATAACAGCCTGGACGAGGAAATGGGTGGCCTGGACCCTGCTTCAGGCTTCACTGCTGGTTTGGGGCCACTGGGCACGTGTCCAGCCCCTCTGTGCCCTTAAAGCCAGGCCTGGGGTGGGCCGGGGGGAGGGGAGATCTCCTCTGGGTCCATGTCCCCTTCCGTAAAATGAGGACACCAGCCTCAGGGCTATGGCCACCAGTTCTGAGTCCGGACAGCTGGGCTTTGGGCTGGCAGAAATGGGAAATGAGACTTGCCGAGGGCTCCCAGGCTGGCAAGTCCAACGGTCATGTGCCTGTCTGTCTCCCCAGACTCGGCGACAGCCCCGGCCGGCTCCCCCTGTCTCCCCCCTGCTCGTGCTGTGTCCCGCGCCTGAAATCCTCTCTTCTCCCCTGAGCTTGGCCTCGAGGCCGCTGTCACTGGGAAGCCTTCTGGTTACTTTTGGCCAATGCGTTTGTGTTCTTACCTGCTTCGTCAACTCCACCCCTCCCCAGGGACCTTACGGCAAGTTCTGTTCCTTGATGTGGCTGCCGATTACTTGGTCAATGTACAAAAGAAGCTGAAATTTTGTGAGTTGTGTACTTTTGTGTATATAAATATTCAGAATATAAAACAATTGAAAATAAAATATTTAAGGGGCTTCTGGGTAGCTCAGTCAGTGAAGTGTCCAGCTCTTAATTTCGGTTCAGGTCGTGATCTCACAGTTGGTGAGTCTGAGCCTGGCGTCAGGGCTCCACACTGACAGTGCAGGGCCTGCTTGGGATTCTTTCTCTCCTTCTCTCTCTGCCCCTCCCCTGCTTGACTGCTCTCTCTCTCTCTCTCAAAATAAACAAATACACTTTAAAAAATAAAATAAGTAAAACTTAAAAAATAAAATAAATTTAATTTTAAACAATAATAAAAGATCCTCGAAAAAATTTTGGTTTAGCCATGATCTCCTATGACAATGAAAATGTTCTTTTCTGCCATTAAATGAGCTGTGCTTTTAGAAAAGCCACATGGTGGGGAAAGTGTGTGGGCGAATGATGTCTCCCAAAGATGTCCAAGCCTAATTCTTGGAACCTGTGAATATTTGTTACAGGGCAAAATGGACTTTGCACTGGGATTAAGGGTACGGATCTTGAGACAGAGAGATCCTCCTGGATTATCCACGGAGGTCCAATCTAATCACACAAATGCTTCAAAGGGATTCACGAAAGCTCTTGGCTGAAGCACCTCTTTTCCTGAGTCTTATTTGCAAACAACCCTACAGTAAACAGTAAAGCAAAGATGAGCAAAAGGAAAAGTCAGCCACAGCCCATTTGCTTTACCAGGTCAGTTCTCTCATTTTCCAGCATTCCTTCCCAGGCACCGTGCTTGGGTCTACAGCTCGCATGTCTAGCTCTAAGGTTTGGGGGCTGAGCAGATTCAAAGCGCCAGTCAGTGTTCCCAGCAGGTGCTCTCAGAGAACCCTTCTCCCGGTGATTCTTACATGGCTGAAAGCCTCGGGGACTCGTGTGAAATGATGCCACCAACCTTCTCTTCTCCCAGCTTCTGTCTACAGTCTGTACGATGGTGGGCAGGACCGGACGATGGCTGAGATTCCCTCCTGCCCACATGGTTCTGTGAGTCTGTAGTTGGACTCTGATCGTTCACCTTTTCTCCTCAGTCCTCAAGAAGAAAAGACAGTTCCCCGAGGAGGGGGAGGGTAAGTGAGGTCTGCACAGCCCCACCTTCGCTCATTAAGCACAAGAGCCTCAAGGGGCAAGTTCAGAGGCTCTTCCTTCATTCCAGAGAATCTATTAAAACACTTTTCACAGTCATGTGAGTTTCCTGGCCCGACTTCTCCCTCCTTGTGACTCACTTACGTTCTCCTTTGCTGAAATCCATGTCCCTCAACCTTTTGTTTCTCCGGAAATTGAAACCCAACCACTCCCAGAGCTAGATTGCAACAGCGCCTGAAACCCTGGATTTTTCTCACCCGCCGCCAGGGTAGGGGTACCGCCTGAGAAGGTTCCCCGCCTCCCCCCTCCCCTCCTCGGGCCCCCTTTCTACCATCCACCCCGCAGCACATCAAATACTTTCTCATCTTCAGCTGCTCCACTTTTTTAAAATAGATTCCTGCTAAAATTCTCCTGGAGGGGATAACCTTAAAGTTATTTTAGGCACCGACATGGTAGCGAGAAGAAAGGACTCAAGAAGGTTTGCAGAAAGACGTGCCTGCTAGGACTGGGGGTGGGGGGTGTACTCACGCCGCCCGAGGACCTGCTCTGTGCCAGGAGCCCCGGGAAGGTGGGCAAGCACCGTGGTGAGCCCCGGAAGGCAGCTCGTGCTGGCTTTGTGCGTCGGGTGCAGCCAGCAGCACTTAGGGAGGCTGAGTGATGCTCAGCGTCACACGGCAAGTGAGATCTGGAGCCAGGACTTGAATCGTCCCAACGCAGGAAGACACAGCCACGCGCACCCCATCTGGCGTCGACTCATCTGCTTTTAGGCGGGAAGGCCCGTTGGAGAACGGACGCGGGGTGATGGGTTTCGAAGGGAGAAGGCTCACCTCATGGAGCTGCCAGGCCACAGGTCATCGCTGGGAAGTCCAGGCTCGGGTTCCCTGGGGACGGGGGGGCAGGGCTGTGCCAAGTGCGGGCAGGGATGAAATAGGGAAAGAAATTTCATCGTCGGGAGGAGGACCTGAGACCAGCACAGTTTGGACTTTGTCTAGTCCCTTTTGCTCCAGAGCCCTGGGCCTCGCGTCTGTCAGTGAGGAGGCTGACTCGGTGTCCCCTTGGGCCTTTCCAGCCCCGACATTATGGAAGGACAGGTGGGGTGAGCCGGGGCCGGGAGCTGGAGAGCCTGCCCTCCCTTCCCGGGTCTCCCAGGCTCTAGCTCCCAGAGCTCCCGCCGAGAGGCTGTTTCCCCTGTGCCTGAACACCCAGCCTCCCCCCTGCTTGGGGCAACAGAAACCGTATTAGCAGCCAACGCTGTGCGCTACCGCAAAACACAAAAATAAAATGGCAAAATTAAAACTAATAGATGCTGGGGCACCTGGTGGCTCAGTCTGTTAAGCGTCCGACTTCAGCTCAGGTCATGATCTCATGGCTCGTGGGTTCGAGCCCCGTGTCAGGTTCTGTGCTGACAGCTCAGAGCCTGGAGCCTGTTTCTGATTCTGTGTCTCCCTCTCTCTCTGACCCTCCCCTGCTCATGCTGACTCTCTCTCTCTCTCAGAAATAAATAAAACATTAAAAAATTAAAAAAAAAAGAAGTTCATGGGTTTGAGCCCCGTGTTGGGCTCTGTGAGACAGCTCAGAGCCTGGAGCCTGCTTCGGATTCTGTGTCTGCTTCTCTCTCTGCCCCTCCCCTGCTCATGCTCTGTCTCATCTCTATGTCTCTCAAAACTAAATAAATGTTTAAAAAAATTTAATAAGAAATAAAATTAATAGGGGCGCCTGGGTGGCTTAGTCGGTTAAGCATCCGACTTTTGCTTAGGTCATGATCTCGCGGTTCATGGGTTCGAGCCCTGCGTCGGGCTCTGTGCTGACTGCCAGCGCAGAGCGTGGAGCCTGTTTCAGTCTGTGACTCCCCCTCTCTCTGACCCTCCCCTGCTCATGCTGTCTCTCTCTCTCTCTCCTAGAAATAAATAAAACATTAAAAAAATTAAAAAAAAGAAATAAAATTAATAGATGCTTCATTAAATACCTGCAAGATACAACATCGGGTCTTCTTTATGTTTGATTTGACATTCATAGATGTTTTACTACATTTGAGAACTCTGTGGGTTAGGTTTTCTCATGCATCAAGGATTCTGAGAGTGCCAGGTGGCCGATGGGAAATCAGAAATTAAAGGGTACTGATCTATTTCATCTTATTTAGCAAATAGGGATGCAGGACCTACCATGTCTTCTGACTTTGCAAGTGCTGACATTGAATCCTGTGACTTGGGGCCATCGTTTTCCCTCCTTCACGGATGAGCCAGCTGAGGTACAGAGGCGTTAAGTGGTCCACAGTCATAAAGGCAGGATCAGGAAGCCAAGTAAATTGAAGAGCAAAATTATAAAAATCGTTTCAATTTTTTTAGTACTTTTTTTTAATGTTTTATTCGTGTCTAGGAGAGAGAGAGAGAGAGACAGCGTGAGCAGGGGAGGGTCAGAGAGAGAGGGAGTCACAGACCGAAACAGGCTCCAGGCTCTGAGCTGGCAGTCAGCACAGAGCCCGACGTGGGGCTCGAACCCATAAACTGAGAGATCATGACCTAAGCGACAGTCGGACGCTTAACCGACTAAGCCACCCAGGCGCCCCTTTTTAGTACATTTTAAAAAGGTACGTTAATGTTTGAGATGATATGGGCATCCCCATTTGACAGGAGAGTAAACAGAGGCTCCGAGGCACCGAGTGACTTATTCACACAGCCAGGGTGCTGCATAGGTGAGAGTTGAGCTCACGAGCCTGGAGAAGAATGCAGTGATTGTATATTTTGGTCTCACTTCAGTCCTATGGATACATTCACTAACACCTGCTTTGTGAAGGCTTCTTGCGGTGCATTTAGAACCCAGCAGCTGGTCACACCCACTGCTGTCCCCTCCTGGTGGACATCTTGGGGGCAGTGTGCATCCTGGGAGTGGCAAGGAAGGGGCTGCTTTGAAGTCACTGCTAGATGTTGCTTCCCGTGCTTGTAAGTGAGCCCAGGGTGGGCGTGTCGGTTTCGTGCGCTAGTGTAGCGAACCACATGCACACGGGTGGCTGACGACAGACATGTATTCCCTCGCGGTTCTAGAGGCCAGAAATCAGAACTCAAGGTGCTGACAAGGCTGAGACCCTCCGGAGGCTCTCCCAGTGGCTCCAGCCGCTCTTTGGTTTGTCACCATGTCACCCAGTCTCTGCCTCCGTTGTCACATGGCCTCTCCCCTCTGTGTCTCATGTCTCCTCTGTCAAGAAGGACACTTGACAGTGGATCTGGGCCCATCCTACACCCCGGATGCGCTCATCTCAAAAGCCTTGACTTAATTGCATCGGCAAAGACATTTTCCAAACAAGGCCGCTCGCCTCCCCACATTCCCGGTAAGAGCATCTCTGGGGGAGCGCAGCGGCGTCTGCCCCCTTGGCGGGTGGCGCACGCGGCCGTCTTCCGACCACGGGTCTGGCTTTTTCCACTGGGCCCCACTTGGCCCCCATTTCGGTCCACCTGGGTGGGGTGAGCACTTGAGGCAGGGCTGGCCCGTCAGAGCAAAGCTTCTCTCCAGCCCAGTGATCGGTCCGGGGCTGGTCCAGTCGGAGCCAATCTGGGACTCCGGGGGTCTCCGCAGTGAGGCCGCTCCGGGGCCAGACGCCGGCTTCCTCTGGAGGCTGCAGGGGCGGCCAGGGCCCCACCCGTCCTGCTCCGTGCAAGGGCCCTGAGGACTCCGCTGCCCCAGCCTGCGGACGCTTTCTTCCTTCCGGGCGATGTTGTCCTGCTGCCAAAGTGCCCCGCTTCACGCCTGCCGGCGGGAGGGAGCTCCGCCTCCTCATCTTGGGGGTCTGTGCCCAGAATTCAGGAGGTCTGAGGACTTGGGTGGGAGCAACATCGCGTCTTTATTTTCACTCACTTCTGACTTCGAGTCAGCATCCCGTCCATCACGACTGCAGGCTGCAGGCCACAGAGTGTCACAGACCCAGGCAGTTATCTACAGCTTTGCCGGCAGCGCCCACACAGAGCCAGGGAGGGGGCGCCAGACGTGGCCCGTGTCCTCCCAGAGCTGTCCCAGCAGCCCAGGGAGCCCCCCAAAGGGACACGATCTCAGATTTGACAGTGCCAGGATGCGGTAGAGAATGGGAGTCAGGGAGGCCCCTGAGGGCAAGGAGGTGGCTGCATGGGGTCAGGGCCAGGAATCCTGGGCTGGGGGTGTCGCAGGAGGGAACAGGGAAGAAGACGGAGTCCGAAGGCCATGAGGAGGGCACGGCGGGAGGCCTTGGTGGCCCGTGTGATGTGTGGCCTCAGCCCCTGCCCCTCACCTCACCCACCCCTAGCTTTCAGGACTCCGCCCTGGCCTCCCCGATCAGCCCTTCTGGGCCCCGTCCTGGGCCCTCCTTCTCACTCCCATGCCGCCAGCCCCCCCCTTGAAGCCCTCCTTGAATGCAGCAACTGCCGGCGCATGCGTCACATCGCCCTGGGCCCAGCCGACTTCGGGACAAGTTCAGTGCCTGAAACGCCCGGACCTGTCCGTCTCCTCCTCCGCCTGCAGGCTCCACCCCTCAAGGCTGAGACCCCGGAGGCTCTGCCTTCCCCGCCCTCCCTCTCTAACCCAGCTGGCGACCTATCTTTCGCTCCACCCAGCTGGCACTGCCTCCGTCCACGCTGCTGCCTCTTCCGTCTAAACTCTTCTAACACGTATTTGTTTCCTGCTGCTGCGTAACAAAGCATCACAAACTTAGTGGCTGGTGGCCTCACAGTTGTCGTAGGTCAGAGGTTGAGGCCCGGCAGGCGGAGATCCTGGCGCCGGCAGGAGCCAAGGTCCCACCTGAGGCCTGTTCCTGTGGGCAGAATTCCTCTCCTCGCGGCTGCAGGACTCACGGAAGCACTGTCCCCAAGGCCACAGGACTGCATCCCTCTGACTTCCCTGGTCTTGAAGATGCCCTCTGAGAGCTCACCTGATTAGGTCAGGCCCACCCGAATAATCTCCCTTTGGATTAACTCAACTGATTAGGGATCCGATTTACACCTGCAAAATTCCCTTGCGACATCCAATGTAACAAATTACGGGAGTGATATCATCTCGTATCTATAGGTCTCGCTCACACTCAAGGTGAGAAGATTACCCAAGGGTGCTGGTGGCCATGTTAGAGTTCACATACAGCA